CCCCAAAACCCCAAAACCCCAAAACCCCAAAACCCCTTTAATTTTATAAATAATAGAAAACAAAAAGATTAATAATATTAAAATGTTCTCTATTCCTTACAGGTGAGTTGCTCTTATTTTTAATGTCTTTTGTCATTGAATCATATCGATCATGTGAAAGTTCTTTAGAGTCCTTCTTTCTTCATAAATTAAGATACACTAATTAATCTATTCTTGTGAAATGATTCTTCTGAATATAATTTGCTAAATCATGTATGCAAATTCTCTTAATTCCATAGCAGAGAGAATTGCTGAACCACAATATTTTAACACTATGACAATTGTTGGATTGGAGCAAATTTAAATTAGGATTTTTATTAAATGATTCCAACCTCAATAACTTTATGTTTGCCAACCTTATTGCATGTATTATTAGGCTTAATTTCTCTTCGATAATTTATAGAACCCAGCTTATATTTTAGGCTTATCTCTTCAGTAGTATTTGTATAAAACCTTTTCTTTAATTCTAACAGTGAATAAAATGTAATATTCTTAATTTTTATATATTTGATTTAATTTTGACCATGTGAGAAGGCACCTGTCTAAAATTAACGAGTTGTTATAAGAATCTATTATCAAGAATTCTGGGTGCTCTAGGTTTTTATGACGTGCCTGATAATCTAGGTATTTCATAATCTGAATTTTAAATAGCCTCACCATTAAATCAATACATTGTTATATTCAGACTCTTCATGATAGTATTTGCTTGTTAAATTAGAACTTTGAGCTCAGGAAAATTATTTTAGGAAATTTAAATAATCAGAATTTAAAAAATTGTTAATCATGAATCAGATTGTAAAGAATAAGTCAGCTTCGCATTGAAATTAATGATAATTTAGGACAACTGAAAAGGTTATTTTAGCCACTCAAATTCAAAAGTATATCCACAAGACATATGGTGAAAAAGTTGCAGCTTCGATAGTAAGGAAGTGACAGACTCTTGATGAGGCTAGAAAGGAACTAGCTTCTTTAAAGTACTCAAATGATGCACAGATGCATAAAGATCTTCTTATTTTTTATTACAATGGCTTGAAATATCTAAACAGTCAGTTCTCTTTTAAGCTCTATGATGAGCATGCAGTTGATATAGGCTTTCTGTGGAGAGATTCACTTTCTGGAATAGAATATATATCACATCAAGGACTTGATTTAGAAATGAATAGTATTTTGTATAATCTGGCCATATGAATCCATAATATGTCCTATAATCTTCCTGTGACAAAGGAATCACTGAAAACCATGTCTCTAAACTTCCAACAAGCAGCTTGGATCTTTCAGGAGGTGAAGAACAATGCTAAAAATATCGATCCTGGCCTCAGAGGGGTTGATTTTAGACTTGATAATTTAAACAGATTAATTCTTATCGAACTTGCCCATTCCCAGTATTGATTCTTTAAATAAAGCTGAACTAACTGAGTGAAAGCCTAAACTCATCGCGAGAATAGCTCGGCAGACCTGGAGATACTTCCACAATGCCAATATTTTAGTGAAGGGAACTCTTAAGCTTGAATTGGAGAAATATTGTAATTACCCTTTGAACACAATTAAAGGATATGCACAAATCTATGATGGTATATCGATTATGTATACAGCCAAATATCTCTTTCCAAAAATTAAACAAGGGAAAACTAAATTTTCTGATGTTTACGGATATTGTATCGAAGCTTCCAGAATTCTATCAGGAGTATCGTTTGATAATGACCAAGTAATGGATGGAGTTAATATCAGATTGCAAGAAAATGAGGTTCTCAGAAAAGAATTAGGTCAGATGAACGATCTTATTTATCACGAAATCCCAACTAAGGCAGACAAACTACCACCAATTGAGCTAAAATAATTATGCAGTTTTGAGAAGCTTGGAGGATGAATTAAATAAAGAATTCATAGGAGCTTGGATCTCTTCTGAGAAGATAAAGTCTCAAAATGGAAAAGATTATGTAAGTTTTCAAATTAATCCTATTGTATTCTTAGATATTCTACCAACTTACGAACATTTATTTTCCCTTCTTTTCATGATTTATGAAGCTACAGAAATGATATCTCTCTTGCTAGATACATCTCTTTTCTGTATAATTTCTTACAATAATCTCTAATTTATTCTTAACCCATTGATTCAGAATTATGATAAATATGATCCATCTTCAAACGATAATGGTAAAATCACCTATAAATAACTGGTATAGATAATTTTTCATCCTATACTTCGCCGAATTCTCACAATTATGAAGAAGAGAAGCAAGAAAAGACTACTGTTTGTAGTAACGATAATTTGCATTCTGCAATGTCAGGGCTCACACTAGGGAATGCTCAGCCTGTGTATCCACAACAAAGACAGGCAGTAAATATTGCAAATTATGGAGCGATTTCACCGAACGTTCATGGAGAAAATTATAGACAGGAAAATACCCAGATACATCCCTATTATGATCAAAATGCTTGACTTATCCCACCAAGTATGACTTCTCAAGAGACCACAGAATTCTCTACTCAAGGAGTGTATCCCGGTGGTGAATTGCAACAATCTGCTCAAACTCATGATAGAAATAATGGAGTTACACAGGCGAACACTCAACCACAAATCTTTTTTAAAAACTGACCGGCTCATGAACATCACAATCGACCATCACTCAAAGAAGGTAACTAAATGCTTTATCGATGTAGGCGCCATCCCTGAAGAAGGTAAACTTGGCGGACGCTCTTCTTACAAGAATTTTAAATAATTTTAGTTTTCTTTAAAATTTCACCATATTTCTTGGAATTAGAAGAAATAAATGTAGGTTTTTGAGGGTTACTAAAATCTCTTATAAAATGTTTTATCTTTCTTCCTCAAAAAAAATTTACCTCTTGAAAAAGGAAGATTTTAGAATGGTGAAGAGCTTTAGTTCAATTTTGTTAGAAAAAATTGGGGTTTTGGGGTTTTGGGGTTTTGGGGTTTTGGGG